TATCAATCGTTGTTAAAGTACCACTGTGAAAAAGACACTTCGCAAGCTCAATCTTCAGATGATCCACTATTATCATGATATTATCGTTTCTCATGCACTTAGGATTTTTCAAAAGTTTGATAAAATTAAATAAAAACAGGGGTCGCCGCGACATGATACAAGAAAGATAGAATTTCGAAAGGAATTTTTCAAAGAAAAAGAAGGATTTTGGTAGAAAAGAAGGAAAACAAGCAATATCCATTGAAGCACTGCTTGTGAAAATAGGAAAGTGTAATAAAACGTCCAGTAATAAGAGATGGTATTAGAGCTCGAACAAAAAACTCATTCCAAAATCATGATTTGGTCACTCTGCAAGATCTCAAATCGATTCGATAATATGTGAGAAGCGAAGAGAATACTCGAAGATGACCTGTTGCATTTCGGTAATTGAGAACAAATATTATTTTGTTATATCAATCACTTTACTTACTCTTGATAGCTTTTATTAGATCAAATGCACGGCTTCACGTTGCTGGTATCACAAATGTTCGTGAATGATAAAGTCTGCACGTGAATAGGGTATGAGACATAGAGATGAGCGGAACCAAGATGAATCGTGAAAATGTAGGTTCGTAATAGCGGTTGTTTTTCATCGAAAACTAAATTTGTGGCTCTAGAAAACTCGACTCTTCTTTTATTTTTATTTACCTAAACAAAAACTTTCTGAAATTTTCGAAAGTATATCCTTCACGTTTCTGAATTTTCTAATTTTATTTTCATTTTACAGTAAACCTCGTCTTTGTTTTAAAAGTCTGTCGATGGGGACCGAGACTTTTCTAAAACGAGTTTGCAGACGAGGACAAAAAATCCGAAGAATTTAAGGGACTATAGTAGTGGCAAAAAGTTTAGCAACAACGTATGTTAAATTTTTTGCTGTAATTTTAAGCACCTAGCTCTGGGTGTGGGTGTGGGTGTGTGGAGGTGAGATGACACTGAAGAGAGCCGCCTCAACGCCCACTCAGGATATGAGTGTGGGTGTGAATCTGCATCTAGGCCTGTGTGTTGGTATTTCTTTCACTCACATCCAAGATAGAGACGAAATGTTTTTGTTTTGCTGATTCATAAAGGATGCAACAAATATCCATGTTTCCATTCATTTACGCAAATTGAAAAAGAATCAGAAGGCCATCACTATCATCCTCATTATCATTAAAATGGACAAGAAAAATTTTAAACGATATGCTAGTGGCACATCGTCGTCTACGACAAGTAATCCAAATAAGTCATCCACAGCTGTAGCACCAACGATAGTTGTGAGTAGAAGAGCTGGGTGTGGGTATGAATGTCTTTTTTTGTTGAACATCCACATATACACCCTATTAGAGCTGTAACAGTATCAAGAAGCGATGAATATTTATGTGTCTATTCTTGTCTACATAAAACTGTGCATGAGTATAAATAGAAAGTTTTTTTTTTCGTTTAATTTAGAAGAAGTCGATGACCAAATAAAGGTTATACCTTCAATAATAAGTTGTTTCGTTGCAATAGGATTGTTATCAGTAACTATTATGATCACATCAACGATGAATTTCTTTCTTTATCACCATCTATCGTTGTTTGGCATCAAATTAATATCACTTAGTATTACTCAACCATTCAATTTAACTCATCTTTGTCTTTTTGCAAACGACTAATCTACATACTCTGGAACTGCATTATGGATCAGAATATGATACTAAACGTTATTTGAAAGAGGAAATTTTAATCTATCTATTCGATAATATTTCTTTGTGCAGAATGCTCATGTCAAATGGCTTACGATAACTCAATCTTTTTCCTATTTCGTGACAACCAAATTTGGTAAACATTGCCTATTTAATTGTCGAGCAACTTCCTCATTTGCAAGTCATTGTTCTTACTATTAATGGCGAAGATGAATATGATCAACTTTATGAGAAACAATTGCATGATCTGCAAAGTTCAAATACTCATTCTTTTCGAACAGAAATTCGTAACACAATAGATGAGGATACACTTTTTGTATGATTATAATAAAATGAAATTGCTAATATTTCTTTAGTTCTTTGTACTTAGACTTGATTTTGTGAAAGAATCATAAGAAGTTTTCAACATGAATAAAGCAAAACTTTTTAAATTTTGTTTCGTAAGTTAAATCACATGAAAAGATCTTCTGTGTTTGATATTAAATTATACTAATATTCTTTATTAGTTGTACAATAGAATGTATACAAAAATTACTCCTGCATGAAAACAATAACACTAATATTTGACCAAAAGATATTTTTTATTATTAATAATCAATTTATTTCCAGTTACATTTTGACACCAAACGCTATTTTAACTCCTCTTCTCTTTATCATCTTGTTCTATTTCCTTTCTCACATATAACTGACCGAAAATAAACAACTTGAAATGTATTTTATTTTTGAATATTCTTACAATAAATAATTATATTATTTCAAATTTATCCTTATATATTAATATTTTAAAAGTTAAAACTTATTATAACATTTCATTCTTCAATAACAGTAACATATTTAAACTAGACCTCCACTCAAACTAAGCACAAGTAGAAAAGACTTCTGACTGCAGAATTTTCATAATCCTCATATATGTTCATAGTTATTTTTTAAAATCTAATTTATCTATATTAATAAATGAAGTTGGACATTGATTGATAACGAATATCAATTGCATATCCCTTTATTAGAACATTATTGTTCTTTTTATTTTGTATATATAGTAAATCTTCGAGACTCTTTCATGGATAAAGTTAATTTATACAAAACGATAATTAATGTGTATATGCATATAAGATGCGAGATATCAATGGTCACTAAAATACTAAGTCATTTAATTACCATTTATTTTTGTTCTTGCATCTTCCACACGGAGTCAAAGAAAAATGAATTTCAGATGTGCCCTACGCACATTCTCACGAGTTTGACAAGCTTTTTTGTGGGATGTGGGTGAATCTCTTCTTTCTGGCCTCATCCAAACTCACCCACACCAAAATCAGTTTTTTCAATGTAGAAACTCTCAGTTACAGCTGATAGTTTGATGTAAGAAACCTTACAAGCATTTGTCTCATTACCATTTTGATGTAGATAAACATATATGACAAGTTAATCTAAGAAGACAATGAATTTATAAACTGTTCATTGATTGAAATATATCATTTTGTAGAATGCATCAATCTAGTCCAATGTTATTTTCCTATTGTACGAA